TCACATACAATAGGACCTGTCATACAGTCATACCCATTTTGTTAGACAAGGAATCTCCCCTGCTGTTCCCTTACTTGGAAAGTGAACTAAAAAACACCCCACAATTTTCTTTTGCCTACAATGTATGACATTCAGGATGAGACAGTAATCACACATTACTACACAGGAAACATCAACTTGAATCCTCTTAGTCTTAAACAACCCAAAGTCTCCCATCTCGTATCATCACGAGACACCCCCCTCCCTTTTTAAAAAATGAACACTCGGGAGGGACCAGGAAATTGTAGTCCTATAAAACCATTCACAGTGGTCAAAGAAGAAACACATACGGTGAATTTTAAAAGCATTAAGCGAAAGGAAATTCAACGACAAAAGTATCTGCTACAATTTGTTTTAAAATTTAAAAAGACAGTTGGGTCCTTTCCCTCCCCCCCTAACTTCAAATGACTTCAATTTTGGTCCGCTATTTGTGAGGTGTGCTGTCAAAATGGGTTAATTTTCGGATTTGAGCCCTATAGGAAGAGACACATCATGCTCTAACAGGTGAAGAATTTACAATTTATAAGTATGAAATAATAAAAGGCATGTTATAACAGTAGAACTCGGATTCAACGAGGTCGCCGGGCCTGACCTAAAATCTCGTTGAATCAGAGTGTTCGTTATAAGAAGCATAAGGTTTTCTGTAGATGATTACAGGCATCGAGAAAGTAATGTATAAAGAGAAGTAACAAGTGGTGCCCGAAATGCCTCCATATTATGAACTGCAAAAAAGACTGATTCGTTCAAATTCACGCCTGTGTCATCTCGATTGTTTGCCAAAAAGTTTTGTTACTGTGTAGAGCCTAGCATACGGCAACTTTTGATTCCATAGATAGCTCACAATTCATTACGCAGATCTACGTCAAGACTAGCTTATCATTGTAATAATGTTCAGTTGCCGGGAAGAAAAAAGACTGACGCGTTCGTATCTGCACCGTTCCGCTGCCCCCCCCCCCCCGACGACGCGTGCACACAATCACATATGTGCAGGCCGCCCCTCCGACACGACACACGCTAGAGTAGACACAAGCAGTCATCTTGTTAAAATAATTTGAGGTCTTCTTTCAAAGAAACTGATGCCGGCAGTGGAGACACCATTACAATTGTCTAACAGTCTAACATCTGATGAGCATCTAAACCTTAAGTCAGATGAGCGATCAACACTGAATAAAGATTACAAGTACGTTACCTTGCTGTGTGTATGTGTGTGTTTATGTGTATTTGAGCTTGTGTGTTAGAGAGAGAGAGAGAGAGAGAGAGAGAGAGAGAGAGAGAGAGAGAGAGAGAAAGAGAGAGAGAGAGACAAAGAGACAGAGAGACCGAGGGATTAGAGAGTACAGAATGATGTAGAAAGTCGGCAAAGGTACAAAACAGCCAGGGTCTGAGTCTGTTGTGAAATGTGAAATAACACCCAACTATCTTTTTTAATCTAATACTATGATGTCTCAATCACAATGGTCACAATATCTCTGACTCTTGACTAAAGTTACTGGGCATCATGACTGTCTAGTGGTTTAGTGACCTTATTTTATGGAAATATGAATTTTTAAAAACAATAACAATAATTCCAGAACCATTAAAGTAGTAGTAAGAGTCCTCATTCCCATTTCAGGCCTACGAAACACTTTCAACTAGCCTAGTACTAGTGGGCAACTTGTAGATTATAATATCAAAAAAATTCATCACTGTCATCAGGTCCAGCCATAGTTCATCACAAGATCAGCTGGTGACTTCAGTTTCAGCCACTGTGAATAGGTGTCTTTTCAAAGAGGAATGGGTGAAAGATCTGATACGATAAGTTGTAGTAGAGGTTAGCTCTAGTAGTAGTAGTAGTAGTAGTAGTAGTAGTAGTAGTAGTAGTAGTAGTAGTAGTAGTAATGTAATAGTAGTAGTAATGTAACAGTAGTAGTAGTGGTAGTAGTAGAGTTGCAGCAGCAACAGCAGCAGTTCATTTTCCAAAACGGCAGACCAGCAGTCACACTGAATCTTTCAGGAAGAGAGACAAGCTATTGCGAGCACCTAGATCTAGCCCACCTCTGTGATTGGTCCAAATACAGAGGACGTATTTCCGCAATCTATTTTTGTCGTCTTCCAGGGTTTCCCAAAAGAGTCTAAACTCATGGGTTTCCCTCGCCAGTCCACCCGGGGTGAGAATAGAAATGCGATCGACCTCTCACCCCGGGTGAGACTTGCCACCGTTGGCTATTTTCACCCGGTGTGAAACAAGACCTGTTTTTCCTAATTTCGGAATACTTTCTATCGGTGTGGATGATGAAATGGATAAAAGCAAAGAAAAAAAATATGTTATAGCACAAAAGTAAGCTAATTTGATCGTCTACAAAGATGCTATGGCTATTTCACTTTTCGAATCGAGCCGAACTACACGGGTCGCCATTTTGTTTTGACCGGAAGTTCTCGCAAGATCTACTCCTCCCCTCTTCTCTCTCTCTCTCTGTCTCTTTCTGAATACTGTCTATCGGTGGGGTCGATCAAATTGACCAAAACAAAGTTAAAAAATGATGTTTAAACACAAAAGTAAATTAATTTGGTCGTCTACTAAGATGCTACGGCTATTTAACCTTTCGAATCGAGCCGAACTACGCGGGTCGCCATTTTGTTTTGCCCAGAAGTTCTCGCGCTACTCCTCTCTCTCTCTTATCTCTCTCTCTCTCCACTGCCCACAGACAAAACTGTACGCTTTTAGGCTAACAACAGTAGTAATGGAACGTTTGTTCACGGCGCAGAATTCTAAAAATTTTTCTGTTATCACAGTAAAAATTCTGCAGTTCAGGATAAACGCAAAATTGGTTGGCCTAGATCTAGGCTATAATAACGGTGAACACACACCGGGTGAGAATAGCCAAAAGACTCGCCTGCGCTATTCTCACCCCGGGTGAGAAGAGGTTGCCTTGTTTTTTAGTATATTAATTTGTGTCTTTTATAAACAATCTCAGCAATTCTCGTTTCATAAATTTACCTTCTCCTCAAAGTTGTACATGCACACACACACCAGCGCGTGCACACACACACACAAGAAGCAAGCGCACAAACAGTCACAGTACACAGGTCCCGCCACGGTGAGATCTAGATCTAAATCTAGTCAACCGGCGAGGGAAGGCCCGGAAGACGACAAAAATAGTTGGCGGAAACACATCATCTAGGAGGCTATATTTGGACTAATCACAGAGGTGTGTACTAGCCTTTGTGCTCATTGCAGCTTCAAAGGCCTACTAATAATAGAAAGGGAGTGTATGTATATATACAGACCTGGTAACCGGGAACAAAGTCACAAAGTATACAGACCCAGTAGGGGAACTCTTTTGTGATTTCTGAAAGTTTCAGCGCCCTCTTAGCTCAGTGTAGACCTAGGTTCTTCTAGATCTATGGCCTAGGTCTAGATCTAGACAGACAGCCGTTTATTTGATCTAGTTTCGAGGCTAGCCTAGATCTGGATCTAAATGAAGATTGCAGATGATATGTCTTTTCGATGAACGATCGTTTTTCCTCCGTTCCGGAGTTGGAGGAATCACAATTTGAAGAAAAGAACAATGTATATAAAATTTCAATCGAACAGTGACCCTCTCTATTTCTCTGCCTCTCTCTCTCCTCTATGTATCGCTCGCCTTCTCTTTTTCTTTGTCTGTCTTTCTCTCTCCCCACCTATTTCCCATTCCTATCTTTCTCTCGTTCCCTCCTGCCAACTGGGGCATGTCATACATTTTGCTAGCACATGATATCTCTCTCTCTCTCTCTCTCTCACACACACACACACACAATGACAAACACAATACCAGGTCTGGGCGCTGAAACTTTCTGAAATCACAAAAGAGTTCCTCTACCGGGTCTGTGACTGTAAACTTCGGGACTTTGTTCCCGGTTACCGGGTGTGTATACACTTCGTAATAGAAAAGAGAAAGAGGGCCTCTACAAGTACGTACCACAAACTGAAATTTCAAAGTCCTCTGATTTCATATTTAACTGCACTACCTTATAGAATTTATCATTCTGAGCATTTTGATACCAAATTTATATATACATAGATCTATATAGCTTCATTTTTAACAGTTTTGAACATCTGAATTTGCAGAAAAATGTTAGTTTTTTAATTGTGAAATGTCTACACTTTGAGATGTCACAACATTCTTAAATTAAATTTGAATGGACATTCACAAAAACTTGTAGACACACACCTATGCACATAGAGAACAAGCTCAATTTTTTTCAGGGCTATCAAATAACCAGAAGATGGAAATTTATTGACGTGAACATGGCTTTTTGACCAAAACGGCAAGAAATACAAGGGGAGGTTAAAATCACCGCTCGCGACCGCCGGCTTATCGGCTGCGCGCCGGGCCGCGCTGAAGGGAAGTTCAGTAGAAAGAATTTATACGAAACCGGGGCGATGGTGCCCTGCTTGCGAGCCGAAGGGGAGCGTCTGGTGTTTATTTGCGTATAATGGCTGTGTTATTCTTGAAGGGGAATGAATGGGCTTTCTGCCGATATATTTCCGTAGTCAGTCCGATCACTGGTTCCATAAAAAAACAGCACCGAAAGTTTTCACACGCAAATCTCTTCTATTAATTCTTTAAGGACAGTCTTTAGAAATATATCACCGGAAAGAGCGTCTTCTCATCTTGAAATATCAACGAATCAGATTGCAGTATTTAATACCATACGCCACGCTCCCCGTTCCTGTTCAACCGAGGTCACTCTAAAAATCAATACACGAAACGCGCGGCCGCTGCAGTGAAAACCTCGATAGTGTTGTCTTTTATCCCGCAAGATTTTGCTCTCAAAAGAATCGTTGATTCAAATAAATAATACCACTAAAAAGAGGAAAAGCTCCTCTTTCTTCTGATATATCAAGTGTCTGTGGGTATGCATGATCACACTGTAATTTAGGGTAAGATTGAAGAATACCGGACCAGCGGACTGAGTTTGCCTTATGTCTCAACCTTAGAAATTCATAATTTTCCCGTTTTTAATATCTCTCAATGGAGAATCTCGGACCGATAAATCTATTCAATAAAATTTTGTCAGCAGGGGGGAGACCCCCCTGAACCCCTCCTCCCCCCTCCTCCACCCGCCCCACCTACCCCACATTCTCGCGCAATGATGTACGAGTGGTCCAGCATTCTTCAATCTTCCCTAATTTAGGAGGGTAAAAATATGGGTTTTGGTCTCCGTGACAGTGCGCCACTGGGTCGCACGGCCAGTTTGCGGTACCTACTACAAGACCTATCTAGATTCTAGATCTAGATCTAGATTATCTAGATCTAGATTCTAGATCTATATATCTAGATCTAGATCTAGATCTAGAATCTGGATCTTCTAGATTAGATCTAGAATCTAGAGTCAATGATGAATGCTATTATTTTCTTGGACCCGTGGCGCATTACCTATAACACAAGGAAGGAAAACCTGAAACGAAGACAACCAAAACTACACACACAAGTCAATATTAACAATTAACAAGACCAAGTCTAAACAAGACTAATGAAGAACTTCCACTCACTCTACTCTAACTTCCCGTCTACTCTCCTCACTCTCAGTCTTCTTACCTCTTCTGTATCCTTTGGATACCCTTTTTTGGACCATATTATGTTTCCAATTATCCGTTTTCTCTTTTTACCCATCATTGCACCGACTAGTCAGGTCAGACACGGCGATTTCCAAAACATATTTTAGAACAGCTCGAAAGTCAACAATAGCAATAGTATTACAACAGCTACGATGAATCGGATGGATTGTTCACGACAACAGACGGTGTCAAGTATGTCGACCGAATGCAATTCAATTTCAGTTGACCTAAAACTTACATCTGAATTTTGCTACTTTTTCGCCTTTTCAATCAAACATAAGCACTCAAACGCTAAAAAAGCATTATTTTCCACTCGTGAGTATTCACTGACTACCTTATATTTGATATATTTGTTTTCAGTTGTTGATTTTTGAGTAAGTTTATCAGCCAATTTGGTATCTCATATTCTATGAATAGACTTTACCTTCCAGTGGAGAACCGGAAGCTAACGTGTGTACATAAAATGGATTGGATTAAACATTTGCTTGCTATTAATTAATGTAAGTTTGATAGACACCGGAATTAACGTTTCTCACTCTCATTGTTACGAACTGGCCATTACTGGCCAAGGACCATGCAATATAACCTCCTTACAACTGGCTCATAATTGCATGTCTATAATGGTCACGTGATATTGTCTGCATGAAAAGGCTCCCCCTCACCCCCACTCTTCAAGAGAGATCATAAAAAACCCAACATTTCTCAACACACATGCCTGCTATTCATTCAATTCTCTATTCCCACCAAGGAGGTTACAGTTTGTTTTAAGCTCCCTGATTCCCACTGACTCCCAAAATAAATCTCCTACACAACCAAGCAACGCGTGTGAGTCAGAAAAGAGAACGTCGTTCCATGACCCCGAACTGGAGCAGACAAGGCTGACATAGCCTGACTGGCCAATCGTTGTGGTAAACATACGAGGGTCTTGCTCATTCACTCTGAGGTCACAAACTGGAACGAACGTCTTGTATTTATTTGATTTGTTAGGGTAGGCCTAGTTTTAAGGCACTTGCAACACAAATAGGACATACAAGTGTCGAAGATTGAGGTGTTACTGTAAGAGAGTAACAACATACAAAAGAAAGCTGAGGATACGTTTAGGCCAAGGAGATTAAAGGAGAGTAGGCCTAAAAAGATTAGTTCTAAGCTCCTTGGTTTAGGCCTAAAAGGAAAAAACGGAGTAAACCAGACAAGAGCATTATATTATCCGCCTTAAATTCCACCCACTCGACGTCCTTTCATAGGCCTATATAGTGCTTCCCAGATTATTATTCGACATTCACTCCTTCACCCATATAGATCTAGTAGGCCTATCGCCGGTACTTGCACGGCGAAGGGGTTTCATAATAACAATATGCCCATATATTATCAATATTATAGAGAAGATGAGCAGTCTTTGTTTAAATTTTATCATTTTGCAGTTCACGCAACAACAAAAAAAAAAGGTTATTATAAATACCCATGGAATTCTAAGATCCTTAATGAGCTCACACGTATGTCTTTGCACAGAACGAGAGAACCGTTTAGTTTCAATGAACTTGTACACTTTGTAGATGGTTAATGGCAGGTGCTGTGGTATGGTTAATTTCTCCAACTTTGCTACCAAAACAGCTATATATATATATATATACATGTAAATATCACTTCCATCCTCATCACGACTTTCCTTCTTTTCTTTATAAGTTATTCTCTTGCAAAACCTCGTTAATCGTCGCGACACTTGACCAATCTGTATTGCAAGTGCCGTAAAACTCTTGCTAAAACTAAACGAACTAGAACTAGATCTATGAACTTTATGAACAATTTTTGATTTGATGGGGTTTTTTTGTTGTTGTTTTTTTGTTGTTTTTTTTTTTTATCTGCAAAGTTGGGATCATCTTGCACACTGTACGAGTCCCTGCTCCCCCTCCCCTTTTTCTCCCCAGAAGCCACCCCAAATTACAAAATATATATTATCATAGCCTTATTATGTATTTGCTTGTGGTCCCCCCTTTCTCCCAAAAAGCCGCCTCAAATTGTTATTATAGCCTATATAGGCCTATTATATTTTGTTTGAGGGCGCAGTTCCAGTTAGACTGGTTGGAGACACGTTGCGTAGGACCACACAGTGAATCTTTCTGTCTGTTCCCCTCACTCCGACTTTAAATTCCCTCTCCCTTACTCTCTTGAGCGGGGTGTGAAAATTGCATATCCCGTCGGTTTTTCGATGTAGGTACCGTTTGTATCATGTGTAATCTCTCTCTCTCTCTCTCTACCCCCCTCTCTCTCTCTCTTTCTCTCTCTCATAGCATACACACACACACACACACACACACACACACACACACACACACACACACACACACACACACACACACACACACACACACACACACACACACACACACAATGTTAATGGGGTTAAAATAATAGTTCTTCCGTCAATAACTGGCGGTATGTACGGGCAAGCTTGACATTAGTTTGATAAAGACCACAATTCAGACAGTACTGACGGAAGCGCGGTCTGAAGACGCAAACATGTAGACCTACTATGTTATTACATATAGGCTTTTCTATTCGTACATTGGCCAAACCGGGAGGTAAGCGGGGCTGCTGGTGCAACGGGGGCGGGGGGTGGTACAACGAGGTTTGACCAAAAATTATCTCCTAGAGTAGTAGAATCTTTGGTTTGACTGTGCGCGTTACAATTTATAAGTGTGAAATAATAAAAGGCATATTACACTTACTTAATTAAAGAATATGGCATCAATAGAAAATCTACAAGCTTGACCCTAGGGTCGATTTTTGGCCAATAAATCCATTTGTGGATTGCGAGAAGTAACTCATTTTGTCTGCACGCCTCAAATAATTTAATTATTTCTACTCTGGAATCGAACTTGGGTCTCCTGTTTGCAATAGTGGAGGGCCTAACCGCAACACCAAAGATGGTGGGCTATAATATCTGCAGAGGAGAATATTTTAAAAAAGAGAAATGGAAGAACTATAAAGGATTAAGATCATTTAATTGTGGCTTCTGCTATGATCAGTGAGACCAGGGCTAGTAGAGAAGAGTTTGCCACATTTTGAACATTGAAAATGCTTCATTTACACTAATGGACTAAACTGGATGTAGGGCCTACACACCTTGCAGGCTTCTCTCTTGGCTTCAGCATTAATTCTAAGTTGTGAACTCATATATTATATATATATATATATATATATATATATATATATATATATATATATATATATATATATATATAGAGAGAGAGAGAGAGAGAGAGAGAGAGAGAGAGATTTATATAGAGAGAGAGATTTATATATAAATATATAATTAATATATAGATCTATATATCACTCTACAGAACTGGGACAAAGAGCAAACGCTCATGAGATGCTGGGTCCATAACATCTTCTGTCAGTCAGCGCAATTATCTCTGATCTAATTTTTAAGATGTGATGTCTTTTTCTTTGTAATGCGCATTGAGCATTTTTTAGAAAATGGAAATGAGCAGTATAAATGCTATTTATTATTATTAAATTATACATGTACTACCCAAAAAATCTACGTCATTATAGATCAGCTTTTTTTTGGGGGGGGGGGGGGGGGGGGGGGGGGTAGGTGGTCACAGTTTTGAGTCAAGAATATCTAGGGTGGCCCCCAAATTCTCTCCTGCTAGAGAATTTGTTTCTACATCCATTTTCCAAAGTTAAGGACTAGCACTTTGTCTCTGCCACAGCCTCACAGAAACAGGTGTCAAACTTTGACAAAACAAAACATGAAGAAATAGTCTAGGACTACACCAACACAAAAAACATCTGTCACAGATTCACTGTTCATCAGTCACACAATTTGTACACATGTATTAAAAAAAGATAACAGCATGCAATATTTGAAACCTTTTTTTTATTTCACTTATATCAAAATCATAAATTACTAGGCCTACAGAATTCAATCACATGACAAACTGTTGGTGAAAACATTCAATCAAAACTGTGACCTCCAATGTTCCATTGTACATTTTCCACTTTCAGTACTTTCACACAAGTGATTAAAATTAAAATAAACATTACGAACCACCACGATATTCAAGGATGTCACTCTACTCTGTCCCTCGAGTAATCCAGGGTCAAGATGAAATGAGGTAAGTTAGGTCCAAATTCAGAAAAATTAAGCTCCATCATGCTCTTAGCCTCAAGAACATCGAATGCTACCTTCCTTTAAATTGTAAGGTTTGAAAAAAGTGTGGTTTCTTCTAAAAAGTGTTGCAAAGATTGGACCGCCAGAACTATATAAGATTATATAGATAAACCTGTGCATTTTTACACCATTCACGGCATGTTGCATACGACCCATGGAAATAGAATTCTAGGAAAAAATAGGAATTTATCTAAATCCGATCAGGGTTTTATGACTGGCAAAAAAAAATAGGAGGGTTCCTATTTCATCAGGGGCTCCGAGTTCCATGTCATTTTGATATACCATTTTTATTTACGAATGCAAGAGGAAACGGAAGTGGCCCTATGTACATGTGATTATCATATATAGGTGGCCACTAGAGCACGTTCCATAGTACTTATTTGTGATTGAAGGGGTGGAGATCGGTTACTGTCAAAAGTAAAAACTTTGAGAAGATGCCAACAAAGTTTGGTGACTTCCAAAGCTTGTGTGTCTTTGGAGACTGCAATTTATATTTTTTTGTGCCTTTGGTTAATATTTTTCAGTAAAATCCACAGAAAAATGTGTTTTTGAATGGACATAAAAGGTGTGGAGCTAACAAAAAACAAATCTATAAAATTGCAGTAACATAGGCCTACGGAAAAAGGGTGGTTTCTTCAATGTCATTATTTTGAAGGTCACTGATTTCACCATATTGCTGCACATAAAATTGGTTATGAACATAAAAGTCAACGTTGTCACATGTCATAATAATAATAATAATAATAATAATAATAATATAATAATAATAATAATAATAAATAGCATTGACTGAATGCCCATTACATTCAAAGAGATCACATTTTAAAATCCCTTGACAATATATACATGACAGAACATAATATCATCAGGTGTATATCAATACTTTAAGAGTAAAAAGTATGTAAAAAAGGTCACACAGTGCGTTTGGCAATGGTAATGTGTAGATCTGTACTAAAGAATAATTTTTAATGTAGAATGCAATTTAAAAATTAAAAAAATTAAAGAAAACTTACTCATGGTCACAATAAAACCAAAAGTGAAATTATGGCTACAAATAGTGTGTGTGTCCCTCCCTCCTGTCTCCCCCCCCCCCTCCCTCCTGTCTTCCCCCCCCCTCTCTCTCCCCCCCCCCCTCTCTCTCTTTCTCTCTCTCTCTCTCTCTTTCTCTCTCTCACTCTCTCTCTGAGTCTTACTCACTATTTCTTCAGTCTCAATGTGAGACACACACATGATACATGTATCAGAAAATGTAACTTTACATTATTATGACAAGTACAGTCAAACTCGGATATATATAACAATAACACGACAGACGCGACCGGCAATTTTTCCATGTTATAAGCAAGTCCTGTTATAAAACTGTTACCAAGGGAAACTACCAATACAGTGGAACTCGGATTCAACGAGCTCGGATTCAACGAGAACTCGGATTCAACGAGATGAGATAGATTCCCTGTTTTTCTTCTTCTTTAAAATCAATAAAAAATAACCAGGATTCAACTAGCACTTAAATCAGCGAGTTCGGATTCAACGAAGTCGCTTCCAGGGTGAACTGCCTCCGCAGACGTGGCTTTGCTCATTTTTCTTCCAGAACGAACTTTTTCTATTCCCGAAAACTATCCATTGCATCTGCATAGTGAACCATTATTCACGTAGCCGATTGCATGCGACCAATCAGCGGCTTTTTTTCATACCAACACATGAGTTGTTGGCACGCGCACGTGTCTACTCTGGCGTGTGTTGGGGTTGGATGGGCAGCCTGCACACGTGTGGCTGTGTGTGCGTGACTGGGGGGGGGGGGGGGGGGCACTAGCGGTCCGGGCGTTGAACGTCGCAGATACAAACGCGTCACAGCCTTTTTTTTCCCTTGGCAACTGATCATTATTACAATGATAAGCTAGTCTTGATGTATCTACGTAATGAATTGTGCGCTGGTCGATGGAATCTAAAGTTGCCGTATGCTAGGCTCTACACAGCAACGCTACTTTTTGGTAAACAATCGAGATGACAGTATCAAGACACAGACGTGTGCATTTGAAGGAATAGGTCTTTTTTTACACAGCTCATAATATGCAGGCATTTCAGGCACTATTTGTGACTTCTCTTTATAAATTACTTGCTCAGTGCCTGTAATTATCTACACAAAAACCTCTTGTTTGCTATAACGAACACTCAGATTCAACAAGATTTTAGGTCAGACCTGGCGATCTCATTGAATCCGAGTTCCACTGTACCATTGCACCTTCAGCTTATTCGATTACCGCAGATCCTTTTCCAGTGGGCAATTTTGCTGACACTGAGACGGAATTAATCAGTGATCCCAGCACTGGGGGGGGGTGTAAATGTGTTTAAAAGTTTACGTTTAGGCAAGCGATCATACAAAGAGGCGAAATTTCTTGGTTGAGACAAAATTTAATGATTTGATGGACTGAAAGCTAGTTCATATACTGCAAGATCACTGTTATATCCGAGTCTGAGCAAATTGAGCCTCGATACAGCCAGGTTCATTATATTACTTACACTTATATAGAAAAAAAACCCAGGGAATTGATTTTATCACGGTTATATCCAAGTTCCTGTAATAACAGAGGCTGTTTTAAATGGACAGCACTTTATGCATCTGTGAACAAGTATAGTGGGTGTCGCATTCAATGAGGTTGCCGGGACCGGCTTGTTGTCCTCGTTGGATCTGTCCTCTTGTTGAATGTGACTGAGGCTAAAGTAAAGAAAGGAGACCAGTTATTATATTACACGATGTACCAATAACAGTAATTAAAACAGTTGTTCCCCCTGATGACGAAAATCTCAAACAGCATCAGTATGCACGTGTTTTGACCGTCATTTCTGCCTTTTTAAATAATTTTTTTTACAGAACACTTCTCGTGTGGAAACATACCCTCTCACATCTAGGCCTAGATCTCCATAAAGTGAAGGCGGGAGCTTGGATTTTCTGATCACGGGAAGAAAAGAAAATTTAAAAAAATTAAGGTCTCAATTAAGACCTACCCATCCAGAGTTCCTCCAGTTTCACACAGCCTGCATCGCGTTCCCACCCACCCCCTTTCATCCCTACCGTAGGCTAACCCTTGCCCATCCTCTTGGCTTTGGTGCCCATATTATTACGAGGCACATTAGATCTAACAATACAATGTGTTAGGAATCGAGGATGGGCCTTGTGCTTCACGTGAGATGGAGAGGAAGGAGAAAAATTCTTCCCTTTTGGGGCCACTGATTGCTTTTATTTGGTTATCGCGACCTTGTTGAAAGCGGCTTCGGTCTGTTTGGAACCTCGTTGGAGCCGACGTACATTTACAAAGAGATATAGAGGAAAAATCAGGGAATAAGGATTGTTTCGTTGGAGCCGACTTCTCGTTGAATGTGACCTCGTTGAATGCGGCACCCACTGTACTGCTTCAGTTATTTTTTTAACATTTGTATGTATATCTATATATATATTATCCGGGGCACAATCACGCACATGTCTCCTCTCACTGCGGGTCCTCCCTCTCGTCGTCCAATAGCTCGTCTCTGACTGCCGTGAGGATCTGACCCAGTTTGTTCTTGCCCCTCCAGGTCGCTCGGTTTTGGGCTTTTGGGTTCAAGAGTCCCAGACCGATGCCCCAGATGCGGTCTCGGGGACTGGCCTCCACCAGTGTGGCAGGATATGTTGCCAAAAGTTGTTTACGCAGATCCTCGTTTTGTTCAAACTGAAAAGAAAAAAAACAAACCCCGACATAATACAGTGGGAGCTATTTATAATGACAATTAAAATGAAGAGAAAACTTGAGTAATGAAACCAACTTAATACAGTGAGAGCAATTTATACAACAAGTAACAAGAGTTAGAAAATAGACTAAAGAGAAATCTTGAGTAATGAAACAATTTTTTATTTCCATTTTCCCATTTTTATCACTCTACTCTTATAAACAATTTTCTGGAATAGAGAGACGTTCTATTAAAAATTTTGGTAATAGTAATAGCGAGAGAACACACAGTGGCCCAACCATTAACTCGTTTCCTACCGCCCAAAATCCAGCACTGGCCCAGGGCTATTCCCTGACCTATTTTTACGTCCCTGCCCCTACAAAGGAAAATGTCAAAATACCCAACTTAACACACACAAACGATATGTATCATATGGCCCATCAAACTGAAGGTTAAAAAATAATCTATCAGATAGTGATACAATATTGAAGATTTATTCCAATTATATTATTATTAGTATGGGGTTTCTAAAAGTGACTATGCAATATCGAAGGTGGCATATATGAAATCAACAATTTTCCAGCTTTGAAAGGTTATCTAAAAAAAAGTACAACAGCATCATTCAAACTTCCCAGGTAGGTTGCCTCAAGTAATACAAAGAAATGCTGAAAGTTATGTATGTATACCTATTATAGAAGTGAAAATATAAGACATATAGCCCTACTGAAGTCAGGGGAACGCTTTTCTTCTCATTTTTACGTTTCGAAGAGGACAAAAAAAATCCCTGAAAAGACTAAAAATCGTCTCTCTGTGCTATATTTTCTTTCGTATCTGCTTACAGGAAGTCTATTCTATTATTTTGAAAACGTGGATCGGCCAAGAAATTTGTGTCTTTTCATTACTGGATTGGAATAGATAGCGAGCCACTCGAGCCGTATTTTGCGGCTCTTGGTCCAGCGAGGACAGATAAATGCAGCTTGCGGAAGGAAAAGTGTTACACCTCTCCACATTGGTCATTTTGTTGTTTAGCAAGTGCAACCATTCCTCCCCCTCCCCTCCCCCCCCCTTTTCCCTGCAGTCATGTTTTTCCATCCTTAAATGACTATTCTCATTCAGATAAAATTTGCCAACAGCAACTACATGTTAAAGAAAGCAAGAAAGCACTTTACATGAAAGAAGTTACAAACAGCAGTCAAGGGCATAATCATTGTTATCATTTCATCGAATAAGCATTTTGCTTCTACTTCTATTTCCCCCCTCCCTTAAAGGCATTCACAGGGTTGCACAAAGACTGCCTGGCCAACATGCTCACTCCACATTTTCAAAGTAACCATCTCAGTCTCCCATAAGGAATACAGCAAGTCAGCCTGTCTGTAAGAGGCCTACACAGCAAAGTCCACATGTTTCCAAATCAGCTGACTGCAGACCTGACAACCCCTCCATGACCAAAAATATGTATCTAAGAATCCTCCCTAAAAATGACTAATTAGAGCCTCCAGAACCCCAGTGGATTAACCCTTCCAGCCCCAGCCATTTTTGTGCGCTCTCTAACCCCAGTCCCAGCCAATACAGCAGTGTTTCAGAAAAAGAGCCATGCATTCTAAAAAAAGGGATGTAGTATCTTTGTAATGAGGTTTAGATAATAACATATATAACAATGTTCAAAGGTAAATGAACAAATAGGCTACATTGTATTATGAAGATTAAAGTTAAAGTTTAATAAGGTTCAATAATTTCGAAAAATATGCAACTTCGGTACCCTCAAAAACTAAGAATATATATGCTCTTGAGATGGTGGGAGGTACAAGTGCTGCTGAAAATATACACGCACGGGGCCGGAACGGTTAAGATACCATAATGTTACAAACTGAAACTAACAAATAATCATGTTTAGTAAATATACCAGATTTTATGCAAATTTGATCAGGGTTCTTCAATGGGAAATTTTTTTTTTTTAAATGGAAGACTCTGATTTTATCGGAGTGCTCGGCAGGTCTGTGAGTGCCATGTAGGCCTACCTGTCTGTAGCAGAGGGGGTCCGAGTAGACTACTGTACCGTTAAGTTCCATTCCCAAAAACACACAATCTTACCAGGAAAAACAGGCAACCGAGTCAATGATTTTACAACTGTTCTTAATAACTTTCTTTGATGTGGGTGTTTTATTTTATACCCACTTTGACTCAGTTTAGATCATTTAGGAGGCAGGCCTCCGAACCGTTCTGTCACTGACAACACGGGCTGAGAGGAATCCACAATCCCAGCAGAAAGACCGAGATACTCCATAAAAATTCTCCCCACACACACACGGAAACTGAACTAAGGCCTCCTGCGCGCCTAAGCACTACACCGCAGACGCTGTTGATTTTACTAACGTGAGTTCACAAACCTTCTGTTGTGCTTGTTTTAGTTTTAGTAAGGTTTAACTGCGTTCGCAACTGCATATGGTCATATGAGCGTCAAGGGGTGGATGTCAACAGAGATCTCCAAACGGGGAATCAGACTTACTCTGCTCACCTCTCTAGCCTCAACAGCACAAAGTCTGCTTCGACTATCAAGGCACCCCGGAAACAGCAGTTAACAAGAGAGTGACACACATAAAAAAGAAGTACAGGAAAAATGATGAGAGTAAGGATGAGGAAAGAAAAAACAGTAGTCCCCCTTATGTTGTTTCGGCACAGTATGAGCATGACATTGATAAATCAGCCCATTTACAATTCTACTGTGCATAAGAACATGTTAATATCCCCCCTTTGGGAATGGCCTAAAGACAACTTCAGTCAGTAGCACTGCCCTGGTGGGGGGCCAAATACCTTCGCTAAAGTGGCAGTCCGCACAATGTCTTCTGCCTTTGATGTCCAAACATCTTTCTCAAAATTTTTGACCTTCCTCCCAAAACGCTTTTGTTCCACTGGGTTTGAGGATCCTAAGATCTTTTTCTTCATTTCTTCATCCTTGAATTGAACTGCAATAAAAAAAAAATATATTTTAAAAAATCACAAAAGCTATTCCTCGACAACAATGCAGATGGATTCTGAATACTCAAAACAAATCTGTGAGGCATCATGGTGAAATCGGGCGCTCGTCAAAATAATGAAATCGAAGAAACTGTCATTTTTCAGTCCATATTTGGAAATTTTAATCAATTTTCTGTTCTCTGACTCAACACCTTTAAGGTCCATCTAAAAACACATTTCTGTGTGGATTTTACTGAAAAATGTTGATTTAAGGCACAAAAATGTACATTTGCAGTTTCTAAGGACTCTCAAGCTTTGGCGGCCATATTCTCACTAACTTTACCTCTGAAACCAGGCGACCCCACCTCCTTCAATCACCAATTCTATTCACGATGATAGATAAGTAGGCTATTTTTTCACTGAAAGCAAGACAAATTACCAAACTTTAAAATGATACCAATAACACCACATATCCCAAAATTGACGAGCACCTTATTCCACCGCACCAAGACACACAAGTACTATCAGGGGAAAGGAAAAGCATGAGAGCTAGACAAACAAAAAAAACTACCTTAACAATTGACAAACAATCATTCTTCTCCTATAAAATGCAGCTGGCATGAAGAACACGTCGGCTCACCAATTCGCAGCTCTTCCTTTTTAAAAGAGCAGGAAGCTATAGCAATTTTATGTCTCTTTCCCCACAAACATAATCAGTGTTGACTATTAGTAATTAGTAGATTTAACATGAATTCATGCTGAAACAAAAACTATTGACTAAGTTACGTGAAATGCAAAAAAATTCAATGGAAGATGAACATTATGAATGCTGAAATGACATTCTTTGGTATCTTTTTCTTTTCTCTTCTCCAACAAAAAGTTAAAGTTAAAGCAATTCCCCAATCCGAAGTAGCCCTATACATGACATGTTGTCCTTCCTTTCACAGGATATCATAATCAACACATTTCATTTAACCATCTCGAACTACAACCCCTCAACCTCAAGGAACGTGCAGAGTAGCTATGTGCTATTCCCAAAGTGCAACCTATATTATGTTCCATTCCAGGTAGACCATTACATATGATGCTGAATATGCAGAAAAAAAAGAAAACTGAACTTTTTATTCAAGTTTACAACCTCTAACGTAACACAGACACCTTTACAAATCAGTACATGTAGAAAATAGAGATGACATAGAAAACCATCAAGTGACATGCTCTTCAAAGTAGATAGCAAAACAGAAGAAAGAGACAAAAAAACGCATCATGTGTGTGTCGATTGTGAGCCAGACAGAGGTGTCACCCATGAACAGTTTGCCCATGTTTAGCATGCACATATATATATATATATATATATATATATGCTAAAACTCCGTGAATAGTAACACTGGGGTAACAAATTATGTAACCTTCGGTAAGTTATTGCCTACTGTGGAGAGAGTACACATACATGATATAATATGAGCACATGCACAGAACTCGATGTATTTCAAGACAGTATTGGCATTAGGTCTTCTCCCTTCTCTAGTCAAGAGTACATTACACTACACCATGTTGAGTCTGATGAACTCTTGCTGCATCTGTTCTGTGTGAGTGTTTAGTAGATTAAACAAACTGATAGTGTCAAAGAGAAAGCACAGTGCGCACACCCTGCAGCTCAAATGACACTTACTCAAAGAGGCAGATGAAAAAAAAACCCAACTCCACAACGTAAGTAGAACAGTGAGCCACAGCTTGATCTACAGTGAGTAGGCCTAACTTGATGGAAATAGCCAAGTCCTGCCCAAGGACCAAGGGATGTAACTCAGTATTTGCAAGTCATTTCTTCAAACTTTGGTGAACAATTAAAACTTCCCTTTACCAGGCATGCTATTTGTGCAATTACTGAAAACCGAAAACATGACTCAATCAAAGAAAATCTGGTCTGGCAGGTTTCAGGTGTTGCAATGATATGCAGGCACAGGAAAAGGTCGCCATGAAAAACACACCAGATGCACAGACAGAAATGTTTCACCTGCTTTTGAGTACATCATGTACTGCTCGGCACAGTTGAAGATGATGCCGTCAATCTCAAACTTGGCAGGGTGGTGCTGACTGAAAGGAGAGGCCTTCCCGAAGAAACAGTGGAAAGTTTCTTTGTTGTCAACCCCATCTGCTTTACAAGTCTTCGACTTCATCTCATCCTTCGCTGCCATGCTTTTTTTAGTCCTTGTTCAGATGCTGGAGTCAATGTTTTGAGCAGCACAAAGGTAAAGACCTGAGGGGTATAAATAGATCTATAAAAACTTTAGGCTATAAAGTAGACGTTCAGAAACTTAATATATCAAAGATTGTTGTATGTTACACCAAAAGCAGATTCTGAGATTGCGAATAACAGTAGCGTCTAAAATTATAGATCAGTCGGTGACTCAATAGAGAAAAATTATTCGTGGTTACCAAAACCAAAGATAAATGACAATGAAACAAAAGAAATGAAGCAAGAAATGAGGACACACAAAACAAAAAATACAGGCTCATTATGAGCATGATGATCCCCACTATCCAGAGAAAGCAAGAAGGGTAGTAGGACTGAACCAAAAACAGAACAACAAAAAGTTTAAATGAAAAAGTGTATTTTAGTAGGCCTAAACAAAGTTATCAAGGCAGCATTTGGCCATGATATACAAACTTGTGAGTTGCTTTATTATAGTACCGTATCTAAAAAACATTTTAATAAACAAACGACAAAATGACAGCAAACAATAACAAAATCAACAAACCCTCTAGTTCTAATTCTAGCTTAGGAAAGGAAGTAGGCCCTACTGTAATGCACGTACAGTTTATTTTTAAAAAACAACATCTGCATGTCTACTCTTACCTTTTATCTCCTGAAATCTCCAAATTTGAATAAAATAAATGTGGGAAAGTGGAAATAATAATTTAATAGCAGGCTTAGTCTTGGGGGCCTAGAATCTAGATCTACTACTATAGTCAGGCTTGGACTCTGTGCAGCCTCCTAAATCAAGTACACACTTCACTAGATCTAGACATTAAGTGAGGGACTGACACCACACATGACATTTTCATTATCTCCAACGTTTTCTTCTGTGAGCGTACAAGTTTATAGCACCGCTCTGGTTCTGCAAACTTGCATTTTACACCAAGCCTCGAAAGTCACTGCTATTTCTGTACGATTGTAGGCTACGTATGATTGATGCTCTATAAATAGTTGGACTAAACTAGATCTAGAATCTAGATATATCTAGATCTAGAATTCAATACTTTACTTTAGGTCTACTGCGGAATAATAAAAGTAGCAGAAAATGGCATACTTACTTAACCCAATTCCCTATAATAAGATAAAATAATCTTGCCTCGGGTAGTTTAATCTTCCCCATGACAACCCATGGCACTTTGTTACACACACTTTGTAATTTATTTTGATCAATGTTGCCGCTTACTTGCGCTTGTTTCATGGCATGAACATAGCATGCAGACCTACATCGTAGACTACAGCAGTTTGGTATAGTATAGCCATCCGTTAGCTTCGTGGATTATTAAAGAAGAGAGAATTACATAAGGTACTTTGTTGACCTGCCCACGGGTACGCCCTTGTCCTTTGTTTATTAAGTCATGTTAATCAAATCTCTATCTACACACACACACACACACACACACACACACACACACACACACACACACACACACACACACACACACACACACACACACACACACATATATATATATATATATATATATATATATATATATATATATATATATATATATATATATATATATATATACAGTATTTTCCGTTATTATATATGTTTTAATGCTCATTTTCCTTACACTCTCTTTTTGGAGAACCTGAGAAGGCAGTAATTAGTGGTGTCCCCCTTTTCCCTTTTGTTGAAGAAGGTTGAGGGGGGGGGGGGGGGGTGTTGTAGAGGGTGCAATGCAATCAGAAAAATGGTATGTTTGCTCATTTTTGCCAACCATTAATTTTCCCCTTTTGAAATCCAAAAGATCAGACCTAGTTTACTTGTACTTTCACCTTCCCTGATATCTGTGTGTGTCACGGGGAGACAAATATGTCGTCTTCGAGAGACCTGGACTTTGACAAGGAAAGAAGAAAACGAAATAAATGCGTTTATATTATATTATTAGTAGAGGGTTTTACGGCGCTCGCAACTGCATAAGGTCATATGAGCGCCAAGGGGTGGGTGTCAACAGAGAAGTCCTTACAGGGAATCGGACTTAATCTGCTCACCTCTGTAGCTTCAACAGCACAAGGTCTGCTTCGACTATCAAGGCACCCCGGAAATAGCAGGTCACAAGAGTATGACAAAACATACAAAAGAAGTAGAGGAAAACGACAATAGTAAGGATTAGGAAAGAAAAAGCAGCAGTTCCCTGTTGCAGATCAGGCACAGTCATGAGTGTGACATGATGAATGAGCCAATTTACAATAATTCTACTGTGCTTGAACGAGAAATGTCCCCCCTTTGGGAATGGCCTAAAGACACTACAGTCAGTGGCACTGCATCGGGGGGTCATAAATGCGTTTGAGATGTGGTGCTACCGTAGAATGTCCATAAAAAGTTGGGGGGGGGGGGGAATCAAAAACAAACAAACAAAAAAACCAAAGAGGTGTTTCAGATTCTACACACAAGACAAACCCTGCAGAATAAAATTATAAAATGTAGAAAAATACAATACTATGGCCACTTAAAAACGACACGAGACTATTGTGAAAGGGGTGCTTGAAGGAAAGATGTGGGACAGGAGTGCCAGAAGAAGAATAACATGGATGGACAACATAAGAACATGGACTGGCCCGGATATGGCAGAATGTGCAACGGCGGCTCGAGACCGTGAAGGATGGAGGGTTGTCAGAGATGACACCTCCAGATCATATCAGAGAAGGAAAGAGGTGTTGTGTGTTCTGAGGGTGTCTGTTCCAGAGTCACTGCAGCGTCGTAATGTACCGTCTTGGTCTTCATCTTGCTCTATTGCCAAAGCACATGGTGTTGTAAGCTTGATGTAAACCTGGAAGTAAAGTAACCAATCAAACAAATCTGTTAGAGTAGCCATGAGTCTTTCTGACGCAACAACCACAGCACAGAAAGAGAGCTCTTCCGTCCGACATGAATGACATGCTTGCTCTTGCTGACTGTGATTTAGGAAAAGTTGTTTTGCAGAGCCTTTATTAAATCTATCAGCAGTTTTTTAAAATATACAATTGACCATCATGTTATCTTTATGGAAGCGATTGGAAGTGTCTTTTGGAATATCCGGGACTGCCCCAAGCTGGAATTTGTTAATGGTCCGACCTACCTACCAAATCGATTCCAATCTGTTGTCATTAATTAATTATGACTTAAGTCATCAGGTCATGTCTTTATGTATGGGGTCCCCCAGGGCTCACTCCTCGGACCAGTTTTGTTCACCATTTATACTCAACCACTTGTCAAGGATATAGCTCGCTATGACTAAAATCATAATTTCTATGCTGACGATATACTCAAATCTATGGTTCAATAATGTGTACTAACTGAAATGAAGTATCCCATCGTGTTGAAAATTGTACTGTCTCAGTGAAACACAGGATGAACAGAGGACTAACGTTGACAAACAGAAGTCATTTTAACAGGCAGTGCAAAGTATGTAAAAATGAGGCTGACAACGATCACAAGAATATTGACGATGTGAAAAATGCATTTTCAAGAACATTTTAAAATTTTGGCAATTATTTTGATTCCCATTTTGTCAATGTCGTCTGCGGTGAACCATAATTTGATCAGTCTCAAAGGGGTACTTAGAAATAAAATTAATCAACGAAATTATGTATAGTAAATAGAAGTATACTGACTTTATTAAAATGTGTTTATAGCTTGTATTATCAAGACTTGATTGTAATCTTTATTATAGATTAAAAATATCTCTGGAGAAAGTGAAAAGACTTTCAATTGTTCGAAACAATGCTGCTGCGAGTTTAGTTTTAGACACAGAATTCTACACTTAGAAGTATAGAATTCTGTGGTTTTAGAGAAAC